AGGTTTAGGGTTAGGTTTAGGGTTAGGTTTAGGGTTACCTTTAGGGTTACCTTTAGGGTTATCTTTAGGGTTACCTTTAGGGTTATCTTTAGGGTTACCTTTAGGGTTACCTTTAGGGTTAGGTTTAGAGCACGCTTCTGTCGGCTCACTGTTGTTGGTGCGCTTCTGCGCTTATTCGGCAGCACGATTTTGAACTTGCGGTTTTCTCCCCGCGGTTTCATCGGTGCGCTTTTGTTGAGCGCGCATTTGTCGGTGAACCACATCATACAACATATCTCTGACAGTTTTTATGGGACCAGCCCCCTTGGGCTTATTCAACATATCTACCAAGCAATGTATAGCAAGGAACTAGGGCAAGCAGTTGTAATAAGGGAAGAAAACCAAAATTCTGTTTGGAAATGTGATATAGAAATTTGGAAATCTCAGGAACCCCAATAATAACTGAGATGGTTGACTTAATTGGTCATTTTACCAAGCCCTTTTAATTTCTTTGGTATTCTTACAGATGTGTTTTCCAAATGAAATTTTTCAATATTGATTTGGTTAAGATATGTTGAAACTGACTTCAAATCCCTACATTTTATTATAATCTTCAGCTATAATTAATAAACAGAACTACCTAGAATGCGTTTCATTCTCTCAAAGCAAAACAGAACAATTGATCCTTTGCTACAGGTTTCCTCAACAATCATTCCATAGGGGCTCATCATATCTGCAACCAATCACCTACAAACAGAGACTTCTTTGTGCTTTAATCTTCAACCTTTTTAAACCCAGGAAAAGGCATGTCCTTAAAATCTCTTCTTAAAAACTTCTCTCAACTGTGAAATCTGAAATGGCAATCCAGGCTGCAGAATTAGGGTGGAGAATACTTACGGGTGGCTACCTTGACTCCAACCGGGGCACTGAGCACTTCACTGATAACAGCATAGATGCTGATGTTGTATGTCAGGCCTGGCTCCAACTCCTTCAGAGTGACAGTGCTCCAGTCACCTGGTACCCGTTGCTGGAGCTGCAAGCCCCCAGGCACAGCTGGCTGGTAGGAAATGACATATTCAGTCACAGCCATTGGGCCATCCCATTCCAGGTCAATTGATTGGTCTCTGACTGCAGCCACTTGCAGACTCTCGGGAGGAGCAACTGGAGGTGGGGAGGAGAGAGAGAAGGAGACAATTTTCAAATGTGATTCACCAATCTCCTCAAACTACTCTTCGACATCTGTTTCCCCTTTTGTCCAACTCACTGAGATTCCGATACTGAGCACCTTACTTTGGGAGTATATTCTATTGAATTCAATGGAAAATATTTCTAAGTCAAATGGCACAATGGCAACATTATTTGCGTGACCCGACAAAAGGGCGAACGACAAAACTGCGCCCGACTAAACTGCATCGCTAAAACCGCGACGTCATCAGCGTGGCGACAACAGCGCGGAGACAGAAGGGCGCTTTACAACAGTGCGTTGGCAGAAAGCCGATTTAACTTAAGGTAAGGTTTAGGTTTAGGGTTAGGTTTAAGGTTAGGTTTAGGGTTAGGTTTAAGGTTAGGTTTAGGGTTAGGTTTAA